ATTAACCCTTCACCAAGAAAGTACAAGCAGAGCTTCCAAAGGAGGCCGGGCAGAGAAGGTGGTGGGAGGGATGTGCGGCAGAGACAGCTCAAGGTTCACCACAACCGGCTTCCTTTTCCACCTGGGCCCACAGCTGTACTTCATTTCCCAACCTCCCTGCGGTTAGGTGTGGCCATGTGACCGGGCTCTGGCCAATGGCAAGTGGGTGTAAAAAGCACACCATTTCCGGACCTGAGCCACAAAAATCTCCCATGTGTCATCCTGAGCCCCCACCTGGCCATGTAATTTTACTTAAAGGGGGAAATAAACTTCAATTATGTTCAACAACTGAAAACTGGGGCTGTTTGTTACAAGAGTTAGTCCATCTTGATTACAGGATGCAAGAGAGAAGACGCAGCACAGTCAGCACCTGCTTTGGAAACTGGGACTGGGTGCTGTGTGGCACCTGAAGGGGATGCGAGTTCTGATCTCACAGCGCTTGCGGCCTTCACGAAGAAAAGCAGCCCTGGGAAGGGCCAGAGCAGGCACCAGGTAGGGAACGCCCCGGGGACGGAGCAGAGACACAGCCTAAGGGGGAGGCTATCGCGGAGCTGTGAGGTTAGTCTTGGGCTGTGCAGGCTTCTGAGACAGCACATAAAAAAAGAGTTAAATGGTCCAACAGTTCTGAAGATTCTTATTTTATTTTTATCGCTCAAATTTGGAACTAACTTATTTTTAGTATTCTTTTCTCTCACGCCAGGAAGGTGAGGGGCAGGTGCTGTGCCTGAGGCCTGCTGCTGGTGGAGAGATGGGGATTTCCCTGACTGGTCCAGGGCCAACAGGCTTGGCGGACATCCCTCGAGTGCCAGAGAGGCCCTGTCCAGGGTCGGCCGACTGGCCAGGCCAGAGGCGATGGGACAAGCACAGGAACAGAACTGGCAGTGGCTTCGTACCCTGACCTCTGAGACCCCCTTCCTCTTTGCATCTTCCTTGCATTTTTCAAGAACTAGTGGTGTCAGCATAGACCAGAGAAGGCCTGGGAGTAGGGGTGAAGGGGGGACAAGAGTGTGTTCCCCACGTGCTTAGGTATAATATTTAACCCATAGATAGAGTCAACCTTCTGTTCTCCATATCCACAAGGAAAACACACATGAGGAAGAATCTCCAGCAAGTGGTATTTTAGGACAGACACCAAGAAGAATGATTAAATGATTAAAGTTGTAAGCTTCTGGAACTGATGACAGGGACCCCTGCTAGTTCAATGTAGGGTCAATGATCCCTTGGCCGGTGTGCCTTATGGAATGGAGCCTGAGGTTGTTTGGGCCTTTTCATTTTGCCTCTGAGAGGACAAGGACTGCCATTTGTCCCAGTGACCCACTGAGCAGAGAGGACCAAGAAGAGCACTTGACAAGGAGTCTAAGAAGGGCTTTAGTCCTGGCTCCGCTTGACCAGATAAGTGGCCTGGTGAAGTCCTCCCACCCCTGTGGGCCTCAGTTTCTCCATCTGTAAAGTGAGGCACTAGACCAAACCCCTTCAGCTCTGACCTTCTGCACAGGCTTCGTTTGTCCTCAGAGCACTTCCCCCAGTGCTGGGTGACTCCAGAGTCCTGGGCTCCCGGAGCCTGTTGAACACGCAGAGAGAGCTCAGAGGTCAAAACCCTAAACTCCTGCCAACTGTAGGCATTTGGGAAACTAACAGGAGAGGAAGTGGCCCCACTTCCAGGGTCACATCCAGACAGGAATAAAGGACAGATGGCAGGGATGGCCAGCGGGCCTGGCTTCACAGTCACCAACCCTACAGATCACCCAATCCTGCCTCTGTAGGACTAAAGCAGAAAAGTCTCTGGGTCAGGAGGCAAGAGATGTAGGTTCTAACTCTGGGTCCATCATAACCTTGCCGTCCGATCTTGGACGAACCCCCGCCCCTCGACTCCAGTATCTTAGACTGGGGTGACTGGGTGCACACCTTACTGGGAGCCCTCAGTCTGTACCGCTGAGCACACAGGTTGTTCTCCCCAAGCCACCAGGAGCCGCATCTTGACACAAAAACCCCGGGAAACGCGATCTAATTGTGCCCAGGCAGGGGGAAAGGACGGGGAGAGCCCCGCCTCAGCCTCCTGATACTGTGCCCAGTGTGACTCAAGACCAGTCCTCCCTGCCCCTTCAGATGCAGCTCAGTGCCCCAGGGGGCGGCCATTTTCTGAAAGGAGGGAACAAGGTAGGACCCAGGGCCTGGTCCCGCTCTCTCCGTTGCTGTCTCTCTGACCTTCAGGCGCCTCCTCTGTGAATGAGGAGGTCTTTCCCACCTCCCACCTCCCACCAAAGAGGGTGGAGACAGATCTGGGGAACTCTCTGGAGCTGGGCTGGTGACGACTCCCAGGTGGTGGCACGGGAACAGCGGCGGGGCTTCCCGCAGCCCTGTTCCAGCCCTGCTCACGTCAAGCTTCTGACAAGGCTATTTATAGAAGCCTTCTCGGCCTTTCCCAAACGGTGCCCTCAGTCTCTGGGTGACCGGGAAACACATAAACACCTTTCCTTGGAGACAGGACAGAGAAATTCTCTTAGGAGCTCAGATGTGGTCTCTCTTTGGGTAGGAGAAAAGGATCGTTCAGGGTCAGATGGGGTTGGGATATGGCAGATCTCTTTGAAACCCTTTCCAGAAGTGGCTCCAAGGGAGAAGAAAGAGCTGGAAATGTTATTAAAGGCAGAACGACACTTGGAAGGATGAAAGACTGAAACATTTGGATGAAGCTTCCCAGCTCCTAAGTCAGCACCCCCCACCCCTTCCCAGCCTGCTCCTCCTTCAGCCAGCGGCCCCCCAGTGCTTGCACACCTGGCCCCTCCCTCCCTCCCTGGAGGGTCCTGAACTGAAGGCAAGTCTGGTGCTGAGGAAACTGTCCTTGATGGCAGTTCTGAATCTCCACTCCAGACCCTCCTCATACGGGAGCGAGGTAGAGGCCAGGGATGGAAGGGCCATGCCCACCACCTTTTCCTTTCCTGAAGCATCTATCCTTGTTGCCCTGTCAGGGGGTCAACAAAATGAGTTCCCTAGAAGGGATTCCTGCCCTCTGAGGGCTTATAGGCTTGGGCAAAATGAGGTAGGGAGATATGCAGAGGCCTCATGCTATGCAACGGATTTGAGAACCAAACGAAATAAAGAGTTTCTGTGGGCCCCAAAACTAAGGTGTACTTTCCGGAGTGGTGCTAGGAGGAGAGTCTGCGAGAAAATGAAGACAGAAGGCTGTTTGGGCCAAGGAACAAGTCATCCCACACCCCCAACCCCCCGGCATATTTTTGTAAAGATATTTCCACTTCTCCCAAGAAATACCAGAACCAGCTACACCTTTCTCATTTGCCAAGTGAAAGAAACCCAGCTTTGCAGTGCCCCTTCCTCTACCCACTCATGCAAAAAGCCCACCTCCTGGGACCAAGGGCTTACCAGGCCGGCTGGCAGTAAGCGTAGCAGCTAAACTTTGTTTTAAAAACAGGAACCATTTCCTTCCCAGGCGGCAGCAAAACTCTCTAGAGCAATGGTTCTCCACCTCAGCTGCATATCAGAATTACCTGGGGAGCTTTTCAAAATCCTGATGTCCAGGCTGCGCCCCAGGCCAATTAGTTAGACTCCCCGGCTGTGTGACCCAAGTATCCGCATTTTCTAAAGCTCCCCAGGTAATTCCAGCATGCAGCTAAGGTTGAGAACCACTGGTCTGAAGACCCCAGAGAGCTGGAGTGCCTGTGTGTGTAGGCGTGTGTGCATGGGGAGGGTCCCTACAATGATGCAAGGACCCCAAGAGAGAGCAGGGCACCTCCCCTCAGCAGCGGTGCTGTTCTGTCTGAGCCCTGCTGCAGCCCTACCTCCCCTGCGCCCAGCCCCCAGAACACGTCCTGCTCTCCAGCCTCAGGAGGGGGTGCCCCAGAAAACAGGGCCTGTTTTGGTTGATTCCTTCAAACACTAAAATCAAAAGCTCTCCTTTGGCTCTGGGGCATCCTCTTACAAGTGAAAGGTCCAGAGCATTTGTCTGACATCAGAACCCAGCAAATGCAGGGCCTACAGGCAAGGTGAGTTATTACCAAAGAAGGCCCCAGAATCAGGCCTGGGGAAGTTCTGGGTTGATTCTACATGGTGTAGGACTGCTAAATTAATGATGAACCTGCACACACCTGTGAAATTTAACAGCTCCCTTCTGTCTTTACGAACAGCCCCTTTTAGGGGCTCTCCAAGGACCTGGTTTGGAGCCCTCTCATCTAAATAACAAAACAAATAAATAAATAAACAAGCTCCGCGACCACTCGCACCACGTATCCGGCAGATACATGGCTCCCACAACTGGAGGGTGAGGCCAGGGGACTCAGGCGTGCTGGGCGTCTAGAGGCTCACACCTTTAGGAAGCATATACAACCCCATCAAGGAACACAGGCAAACCCCTCTAGGTTACCCCAACCAGCCCAAGAAGTTAAAATGGTAGTAGGCCACCCACCTAGGAGAGAAGTGTTAGTTTGCTTCTAAAAACACTCTGGACTTCTGCAAAGTTGCTGGGCTGTGTTTTAAGATGGTTTCTGGCCACACACAATACGGAAGTCTCAACCTATGAAGGTTTGTTTATCCTACTGAGGGACTGGGTGCCATCCACTTTCCGTCTAGAGCTTCAAAGCTCGGATTTGGGAGGAAAAATGAAACAGAGCAGTTGCCCCATCACCCTCCGAGGCACAGGTAAGCACGCTGCCAACCATGAGCCAAGCACCGTCCCCAAGTCCCAGAGAGCCATTTTGAAAAAGTCCAAGGACAGGAAATGCTGAAAAGAGCATTAAAAAGAGAATAGTGTTTGCTGGTGGTCCCTGAAGGCCTGCGGTTCCAACCCTTGGTCTGTCAGCCAACAAGTTCAAGGGGGTCCCCAGGGCAACTGCCCACCCACTCCGGTAATGCACATGGCTTTGCCTGTCTGCCAGGATCAAGGTTTCCCTTCCAGACCACGGGGGTTATATCCCCCAGTGAAAGGCCCTTGTACTCGATATTATGTTTACCTTCGAAGGACGTTTGCTCTGCACATTCCTGAAAAAGGTGGTCTTAGCAGTGAAGAAGTAATCCTCCGGATCCTCCTCCAGGCTGCAGTACCCACTGCTCATGCTGCTGTCCACCGTCATCTAGCCCGAAGCCCCCACCGAGGCAGCGAGCGCATCCGAGGGGACCGGCGTGGGATGCGGCGGAGGGGGGTGGGGACCCCTCCCCGGGCTCCGCCGGGCGCGAGCTCCGAGCCCCGCCGGGAGCTAGTCGGTTACGGGCCAGGCAGAGCCGGCGCCGGCTGCCCCGGATTCTTCCCCTGGGGCCCGAGTGGCCCGGGCCGGGGGGTAACCTGTTCCCTTCCCGGCTCGCCGCCAGCGGCTGCAAGCACCGGGTCGGAGCTGGGCGCCCGCGCGCGCCTCACTCCCCGACTGCCTCGGCATCTGCGGTTTCATCTCCTCCCTCCGCCCGGCGCGCAGAGCGCCATCGCGACACCTCCCCCGCCTGCCCGCGCCTTTCCTGCCCCGCGCGCTGCGCGCAGAGGAGCTCGGCGGCCACTTCCTCTCGCAAGGTTCCTCAAAGCCGCGCTCGGCGGTCGCGGCGCCCCTCCCCCGCCTCCCGCCCCGGGCCTGCGCCTCCCCACCGGTCCGGGTGTCACTGGACCCAGGGGGCAGGTGGACCTAGGGCACCACACAGGTCATATTAGGGATGCAGGGAAGGATGCAGGATGGACCTCAGGGAGAAAATTCCCACTGTCCTTTCTTCATCCTGTGGAGACAGCTCATTCTCACCACCCGTGTTGGCTCAGGTTCACGGACAGAATGTGCTATAAGGTCCACACCGTCCCTTCTCCCTCCCGCTCATCCGCCTCCTCACCCCACCCTCTCATCGCCCATGCGCTGGGTGAAGGAGCCCGGTCAATTAGAGTGGTTAGAGAAGTAACCGGAGAAGAAGAAAATCGATATCTGGCCCGCCTGGAGAAGCAGCAATATTTTAACTTGGAAATGCCAGAAGAAACAGCAGGGGCCCCACAAGCGTATGCAAATCATATGCAAAGTTATGGCAACCTGGAGAGCAAGCTCGTCTTCTGCCCACAAGCAGAACTTGGCCCTCAGGAAGCCCCAGGACACTAAAGGAGCCTGCAGACACCGCCCAGATTATTTGTGCATTTTCCTGACAGTCTGGCCAAGAGGGGTCTTTGCCAGATCCCGTCACTGCTGTCAAGGTCAGCTCATCTACACTTCCCCATTTCCCCATCAGACTGGATGAAGGAACACCTTCCTGGCCTGGGGCTGAATCCTTCAATGCAGTTAGGGCAGCACCCCCACACCTTCTCAGACCTGTCTGTACAACAGCAGTGCCGGCCACCATCCCTGAACAACGCTGCCCCTGCTGGGTGAGGTACAGGGTTCTGTCGTGTAACTGTCCCAGAGCCTTGAGAGGTCATTATGCCGGTTTTATGGATGAGGAGACTGAGGCTCAGAGTCACACAAGTTGGACGTGTGCTGGGACTCAGACCCAGGTCCGTGCAAGCCTAGGGCCTATGCTCTTAGCTGCTGTGATGTGGTCTCTCAGCAGAGACGGGCCCGTTGGGTGTGCAGTCTGCCATCTTTCAACATAGCAGGGCCTGGAGTCCCAAGAAGAGCTGGCACTGCGAGGGCACCATGCTCATGGAGTCTGATGGCCTGAGGACTCGGGAGTGCCCTGAGAGTTGCGGGGAGGGGTTATCAGTTCTCTCTCCAAGTCTGTGTGGCTTTTCCTGCAGTTCTGAGACAACCACATCCTGAAGAAGCCCACGCCAGGTGGAGGGCTAGACTCGGCCCCTAGACACCCAGCTGCCAACTCCATTTTCAGCTCGGGTTATTTTTATGAGGAACCCTCTCCCTCCCCCACCTTAACCAACTCTGTCAGTGCTCGGGAGGGTTTCAAACCTGCAGCCCAATGTGGCTCCATCCTCCTACACAGTCTTCTTCCCAGAAGCCTGTGAGTGCCTGGTAGGCAGAAGCACGAGATAGCTGGGAGCCGGCACCTGGCCGGCTGGCAGCCCTCGACTCAGGAGAACGGTCAATACCAGTAGCTGCCTCCCTTGGCGGAGAGATGATAAGTAGAGGTAAACAGCCGGCGGTGGGGGCTGGGTTGAGCCACGAGGGTTTTGCAGGGGAGAGCTCACATTAAGGGGGCTGAAGGTAGGTTCTGGGTTTATTGGAGCAATCTTTTCTTCAAATGAGGATTTTAGAGGCTGTTTTGGGGGGATTTTCCCCAGAGACAATGGTTCAGGCCAAGGAAGCTGGTATTGGCCATACCAGTCCAATGCCAGAATGATGAATGCTGCAGAGAGGGGCTCTGTGTGGTCCTGGGACCACCAATAACAGCCCACCTGCTTTGTCCAGCCTGCAAAGAAACATGCTTTTCTTTATAAAAGGAACCTCATTGCTCAGTGGGAATCCAATACTTAAGAAAAAAACAGGCCCCACATTCTTTGTGGCCACGCTGTGTCCTTGGAGTTACACAGGGACCTCTGCAAAGCAACGGCAGTGCCACACACTCAAAATGTGCCATCTTAAATTACAGCTCATAACAACCTTTTTAAACACCAAGCCAAAGTACCCCAGGAGTCAGCATGAGTCTCTCTTTGTGAGCAACAGACTAGATGCCAGACCTGGTTAGGAAAAGTTCTAAGTGACACCATGTTCTTTTAAGGTGCTGCTCCATGCCATTCCAAATATTATGAAAAAGTGATGTCTGAATAGGGCTTTTCAAAGCCCCTTTATCATCTATTACTTCACTTCAGTTGCTCTATAACCTTGAGAGCAAGTATTATCCCCATTTTACACATGAGGAAACTGAGGGAAGTAACATGTTCCATCACAGCTCATTACTTTCAAAGCTTCTTAACTCCTAGCTAGTGTCTCTTTCCCCACCCCACTCCACCTATCAATGAATCTAGGCCTGGAAGGAAGCCACGTGAAAGAAGTTAGCAAGACAGACACCATGCTGACGAGGACCCTGGGACTAGAAGAAATCTGCAAAAATCATATACAATACAATAAGTTGGCCAGCCTCCAGAAGGAAAGTTCCAGACTGAAGCTCCATGGACCTAACAGGAGGATGACTGGACTCCTTTCAGTGTCTAATGACCCTGTCTGCACCTGTTCCTACGAATAATTAACAGAGCCACAGCCCGGCTGGGGAGGGGCATGGAAGAGCCCAAGCAATAGCCTTTCAAGCCTCTGGAGGTGAACGCAGCAAGGATGGGAACTGGCTGTTCTTGTCCCTGGGCCCAGGAAGAGGGCTCTGCACCTACAGCTGCAGCATCCAGAGCCTTAAGTCCACGGCGTCGTGCTGCGGTTCAGAAAGCCCCAGGGAAATGTGAACGGGCGACATTCCTGTCTCCAAGCATCAGATGATGAAAGACATTATTTTAAGTTTTCCTCCTTTCTCAAATGTGATCCTAACATGTGGCCAGATCCCCTCGTTAGATCCTCCCTGTGGTTCTGCATGTCCCAGAAAAGCTGTGATACAAGACTGGAAGTCAGGAGCTGGTATTCTAGTCCCAGCCCCAACTCCAGCTCCACAGGGCATCCTGAGCAGCTCTGGACCTCAGGTTCCCTCATCTGCCCGATTGAGGGTGTCAGGGTGGGGATCACATTTGAGGCCTTATGACTTACCAACATATTCAGAGGCTGAAAACAGGGGTGAGGTGCCACCCCACCCTAAAACTTATTCTGAAACCATATTAGCCAGTATGTGCAGGCAGTGTACTAATAACTTTAGGTGCATCATTTCATTTAACCCCTACCACAAACCGATGAAGGAGCTAGTTATTATGTCTACTTTAGAGATAGTCAAACACGCACATAGTCATACATGCTAGTAAATGGTGGAGCCGAATCAACACAGCCGGTCTGACTCTAGACCCTGAGTCCTGGAACACCCTGCAGTAGTACAGAGTGTTTACCCTGTGACTGTTCTCCTAAGAGCCATACAGCCTGAAATCATCACAAACCAGTCAGGAACCGGCACTTTCTCAGTTGGCCTGGGCATCTGCCTTCCCTTTAGCTCACTGAGGTTTTCCAGAGTTCAGCTGTACGCACGCTCCCCCTGGGTGCCTAGTGGCATCTATGCCAACGCAGCAACCACATCTCCCCATTGGAGCCTCACTCTCAACGGGTCTAAAATGGAGCTCATCACTCCCCGCCTCCTCCTCCATCTGCTCCTCCTCCTTTGGTATTTTCTATCTCAAGGAATGCCACTAGGTAGATTATTGCAAGGCCTTCCAGTAGTTTCCCTTGTTCCCATCTCTGCCTCCTCCAAACTCCCCACCCCTGTGGCCAAGTCACCCTTCTAGACTAAGATCTGATCAGGGTTGTTCTATCTAAAACCTTCTATCCAGATTTCAACTAATAATTATCGAATAATTACTGTGTCAAGCTCTAGTTGCTTTTCCGTTCACTCCTTCATTCATTTAACAAACACTTACTGAGCATCTTCTGCCTGGCAAGCTCTAGAACGGGCATGAGTTCAGACCTAAAGGAGACATAGTCCCTGCCTTCTCATAACGCACACTCTAGTCGAACCACATGAAATGAGAAGTTCTGTTAGAGCTACTGAGCTCTTACACGTTTCGTTATCTCACGTAATCCTCACAACCCTGCAAGAAGGGATTGTACAGGTGAGTAAACTGAGGCTCAGTGTGGTTAATTTGCCCAAGGCCACAGAGCCTCAGAGTGGCAGAGTCAGAGCCTGTGTCTGACGATTTTCCATTACAATTGTTGTCCTTCCCCCAGTGACCCCCAGTGCCCACAACGATGTTCCAAACTCCCGAGCAGGTCCCTCAGGGCCCTTCGCAAACGCACCCAGCCCACAGTCCCTCCCCATCTCCAGCTACAGTCAAGCATCCTCGTCACAGCGCGCAGAATTGCACTCACACTCCCAGCAGCCTGCCCTCTTGTGGTTTGGCTCCTGCTGTTTTCTCTGCCCACCAAATCCTCCTCCTGTGTCCTCCCCACTTCCTGACACATATTCGGCAATAACGACCACATCTCCCACACCTTCCTCACGCGTCTCAGAAGCAGCCTTTCCCAGATGTTGTCTCCGGCTTGAACCTTAAGAACGCCACCCTCCGTCCCAAGAGTAGCATTTGACAGCAGTAAGCCGGCCGGCCATGCACAGCAGAGAGGTCAATGGTCCCCAGAGGATTTCCTGTTGTAAGAGGTAAGTGCTCACTGCACATCATTTAGGCTAGACACACAGGAGATTCACTTTCTCGGGGGTTCTAGCCCACACCACACTTCTCTCGCTTGGCTGCCAGGCTAACAGCTTTGATGGGGCCCTGACACTTACAAACACTGAAAGCGACTGAATTAGCCCAAACCAAGAGGCAGAGGCCCTGAAGGGCTCATGCTCCCCTCTGCCTGATTAGAAACGAGCTCCCGTGGGTTGGCCTGAGCTAGTCAGATAGGCCTTGGGGCGGCTCCTGTGAGAGGCAGCTGTCTGGTGGAGTTCTATCACTGACAGCTTTGGCCAACACTTCTGGC